TAAATCTTTACGAGAGCAGAAAGCCACATCTTTCTCCTGTGGAACAGCTGGTAGTTTCGAACTGCTGACCTTGTGGTTTGCAGCCTAATTTGTAACCACTACGCTACCAGAGTTCCATATATATATTCACTGATTTTGCTTTACTAGAAAACCCAGCCTAAGACAACTTTGAAAAAACAACTGTATTTCAAAAGGAAAAAGGAGACTTGGGATTCCAACCCCACCCCATAAAGTGGAGAAATCACCCTCTGCTGACCCCTCTGTCAAGTGAGCCATCCTTCCATCCGATCACCAGATATTTGCTGGCATCTTCTGCATATGAGCCCAGACACACAAGTTAGGGTGAGCGGGGAAGAGTGGACCCTGCCTCCATGGAGCTGCTCAGGTTTCTCTGCTTCCTGGGTTTGAAGAACTGTGCCAAGCACAAACAGACTCCCCTGGGCTCCCTGAAGAGCTGCCTAGCAGTCACAGTGTGTGCATGAGAGGCGTGATTATGGGAGCATCAAGAAGCATAGTGGCTGGAGTGGGTATTGCAGGGGAAAAGAGAGGTGGAGATCAGGACAAGTATGCTCAAGCTCCACAGTCGCTGAGTGCTCATTGACCTCAGACACAGCAGCTCATGGCTGCTTCTCCTGGAGTCTCAATTTCCACATCTGGAAAATGGAGCTAATGCAGGTCTTGCCAAGCTGAAAAAGAATCCAATGAGGTGACCAAGAAGAGAGTTGCTTGTGAAGTATAGATACCTGACTTGGAGAAATGTTTTGAAGAAGGCGAATACAAAATGAAACATAAAACAGCTTCAAAACGCGCTAGCCCAACGAGTCCAGAGGCAGATACTGCTCTTAGGGAAACAGGTCCTGGCTGGGATGGAAGATCAAGATTCCTTTGGAGTGTAAAGGGTGCCTAAGAAATTGGCACTTGGGGAAATGTTGCGGCCACAAGGAGACAAATGATATGTCTGTCAGGTTCAGGGTAAACAACAATTATACTTACTATTATGACCTAGTGACTTCAGGAAGATGGGGAACCCCGTAAGTTCACACCAGACAGTTTTACAAGTGTTCAGTGACTTGAAACAATCACAGCACTTGTACGGCACATACTACTCACCAGACTCCTTTTGAAATGCTTTATACATATTAACTTGTCTATTGATATATATAAAACGCTCCAACAATCCAATGAGCTAGCTGCTCTTTTTATTCCTGTTTTTCAGATAGGAAAACTGAGGCACTGAGAGCTTAGGTGACTGGCCCAACATTGCACAGATACTCAGTGGCAGGGCCAAGTTTAAATCTGAGTCTGACTTGAGTCCACACTATTGAGCACTGACTGAAATGTTCCTCTGAGAAGGAGTTACTACTGTGTGATCTCAAGTCGCAGGGGAGACTGTGCTGTCATAGCTGCCCTGGGCAGTGAAGGTTATTGCCCTTCTTTACTGAGGAGGAAATGGAAGCTCAGAGATGTTAAGCCACTTGTCCCAGGTCACACAGCACTGAGCTTTCACAAACAGGCTCTTCCCCTGACCCTACAGTTACCTGTACCTGACTCTGAGCTGGGAACACACCACCTGAACCCTGGGCCAGGAGGCAAGGGCCTAGGTTCTAGCCCCACCTCTGCCGTCCACTCCCAGTGCAGCCTCTGAAGGTCTCAGTTTCCCACCTGGAAGAGGGCATCTTCTAGTTTGGCATCCAGGTTCCCAGCCCCTCCCCCGCTCAATTCTAGCACTGGGCCCCCAAACCATGATCCCTCGAGACCAGATCCCTACTGTACCTGATGAAAATGGTGCACAGGATGAAGATGATGAGCCCCACGATGCTTGGTGCGTCCCACCACTGGGTCACATAACCCTCGGGGCCTGCTAGGACTGTCTCATTGCCAAATTCAGTCAGTAGGTGAGGGTTGCATTTCTGTTCTAGGGATGGGAACACAGGCATACTCAGCCCACACAGGCCAAATGTGAGTAGCCAGTTAGCCCTGAGGATGTGCAGAAAGCCAACCAAAATGGACAGACAATCGAGCAGCCAGACCTAGCATTAGCCAGTGTTTACTAGGAAAACCACCAAGAGAAAATGCAGGAACATATGGGGCTCCCCATCTCCCCGAAGGACTGGATTTTAGAATGGGCTTGAGCTCGGTGTTCTGTCACCTGTGAGGGCTCCAACTCCTCCCTGACAGATGGCTTCCTTGAGCCCTGGCCTGTACTTACCTGGGACACTGGCCAGGGCTGCCCAGGTGACAAACATGGTGTAGAGTGTGACAACTGACGCCTGAAGCAGACCTGAGTTGGGCTGCGCTTCCTGGCAAACAACAAGTTCACAGGTAAGATGCCGGCCAGACCCACAGGCACCCACTCCCAACTGGGGGGCCTCTGAAACTCTCATCAACCCACTGTCTACCTTGCCCACCCAAAGGTAGGGTTCTAATTCTTCTTTCTTGCAGTACTCCTCAAATGACATCACTTCCTCCCCTGCTGAAGACCCTTCAAGGGTAGAATCTCATCACACCCTGAATAAAAGTGTCCTGGTGTGCCCACACCCCAGCCTCAGCGGCCTCCTCCCTCCCACCTCGGGGCCTTGACACTCACTGTGCCCTCTCCCTGAGTTTCTCTGTCTCTCCAGGCAGCCCAGCTCCAGCCACCTGGCCTCCACTCAGATAGGACTCCCAACGTGACCTGAGAACCCTGATACAGTGGTGTCCGCCCCTTTTATTTTCCACTTGGCGCATATTACCCTAAATTGCCTTATTTGCTACACTCTCTTATTGTGTCCATCCCTGCCCCTCACCACACACACCCTTAAACCACCAATCTAAACTCTTTGATTAAGAACACAAGTTCTGGTTTCCTCATTAGTCAGTGGCCTCCAGCAAGCCTCTTGGCCTCCTTAAACCTCCATTTCCTCATCTGTAAAGTGGGGACAATGATGCTTTGAGGATTCAATGACATGATGAAACCAAAACCCCAAACCCACACTGAGTTGATTCTGTCTCACAACGATCCTGTATGGGGCTTCCGGGATAAAATCTTTATGGGAACAGAGAGTCTCATCTTTCTCTCCCAGAGTGGCTAGTGGATTTGAACCCCCAACCATTGGTTAGCAGCCAATGCCTAGCTCATAGTGTCACCAGCGTTCCTTAAATGACATGATATTGTTGTAGTTGTTAAGTGTTGTCAAGTCAGTTCCAACTCATAGCAACACAGTATAGGGTTTCTGAGGAGCAGCTGGTGGGTTTGAACTGTCAACCGTGTAGTTCACAGTCTAGTGCTGATCCTAAAGAACCAGAAGTCCAAATGACATGATAGAGGCCATCAATCATTAGCTATTATTATTCCTTCTCCTCCTCTTCCTCACAGCTGTATCTCCACCATCTACCAAGAGACTGCTGCACAGTAGGTGGTCAACAGGCATTTTCTGAATGAACACAAACTGCTGTGTGACCTGAGTTAACATATCACCCTCTCTGGGCTTCAATTTTCCCACTGGGAAATGGATCAGAATGGCAGACTCCAACCTTTCTACTTAGAAGCCCCAAAGACTACCAAAGCTATCTTGGGAGCCCCTGGTGGGCTAAGATCCTAAACTGGGAAGTGCCACTGGACTCGCAAGGCTTTCTGAACAAAGGGGCAGGAACTTCAGAAACCTTCATCCATTGTGACAAAAGGTGTGGGATTGGGAGCCATGGAATTTCTCCTTCCATCCCCTTCATTATTCAAGTCATTCCCTGATGTTCTCCGGATTTCCCAAAAGACAACAATGATAATAATAGCACCAACAGCCGAGGTCTGACGAATGCCTATATGCCAACCACTGTTCTGAGTGCTTCACATATAGGATCTCAATCCTAAGACAGTACAAGGTAACCCCACTTTACATCTGAGAAGATAGAGGCACAGAGAGGTTAAGACACTTTCCCAAAGACACCTAGCATGTAGAAGTGAGAGCTCATCCTCTGAACCCGAGCCTCCATAGCTGAGAGCCCCTACCTAGGACCCCAAGGTTCCTACAGAGGGTGCCACATCAGGCAGGGACAGGCAGGCTCACCTGGACCTTAGGCAGTACTGCAACGATGGAGACGCAGACACAGAAGGTGATGTTGAGGCTAATGAAGATTTTGCCCTCGTGGCAGATGCCGGGGTGGGTGTAGTAGACGAAGAGTAGGCTCATACCCACGATGGACAGCGTGTAGAAAAGGAGAGTGAAGAAGAAGAGGCCTGGATGGGGGGCAATTAGCAGTGGGTTGAAAGGCAATCCCACCCCTTCTCTGGGCCTCAGTTTTCTCACCTGAGGAATGGCATTAGTGTTTCCTAACTTTCAGTCGGTCACCACACCTCTGTGAGTTCCGCCCCCACCACACAACTCCTGAATCAAAACACTTCACTTGCTATAAATGAGGCATCCATAAAAACCAATCCAATGACCACAAGAGTCTTATTACAGTGAATCTAGACAAATGGCAGGGGCCCTGGTAGCACAAGGTGTAAGTGCTCAGCTGCTAACTGAAAGGTTGATGGTTCGAGCCCTCCCAGCGGTGATTTGCTCCCATAAGATCGTTGTTGTTGTTGTTAAGTGCCGTTGAGTCCATTCCAACCCATAGCGACCCTGTACAGGGTTTCCAAGGCTGTAAATCTTGACAGGAACAGAAAGCCTCATCTTTCTCCCACGAAGCAGCTGGTAGTTTCGAACTGATGACCTTAAGGTTTGCAGCCTGATTCGTAACCACTATGCTACCAGAGCTCCTTGCCTATAAAGATCACAGCATAGAAAACCTTACTGAGCAGTTAGTTATATCCTGTGAAAATCAGCTCAACAGCTCAAACAACAAAGATGGATGGTGGTCTGCTGAGGAAGCCTGGTCACCGGCATGTGCAGTGACCAGGGGTCATTTGAAGTTTGGTCTGGGTACCACGTTCCCAGCTCCCTGTTCCTGTTCTTGAATTGCCAACTTTCCAGTTAGGAGCCCAGAACAAACTGTTGACACCACCCACATCTTGGGTCCCACTCAAAGGGCTCTATTCAACTGCTGGTGCAGGGATGCTGGACTAGATGAGCCCTCCAGGCCCTCTGGGATGTTCTTCCCCCACCAGCCTCTCCCTTCCAGCTCCTTGGACACTTAGATCAACTCCTGCCCTCCGGCTCCCAGGCGGCGGCACTGACCTGCATACCAGGCGCGGGAGTCACTCTCCTCAGCTTTACACAGCCACTGCTGGTTCCACGAGTGTGCAAAGTCCACAAGCAGCATCAACTGGATGAGGATGAAGAGGAAGGAGCCAACGGCACCACAGTAGAACCAGACTGGGGATGGACGAGGGAGGGGAGTGAGGCAAGGAGGTCATCCAGAGCAGGGTGAGGGGGCTAGGAGTGTGGCAGCATGGGGACTGGCGTGAGACCCCTGAGGTTCCCCAGGCTTTCCAGAGCAGGCACACACCCTGTGGTCTCCCTCTCTTAGACACATTTTAACATTCAGCGATTTTCTCAGCCATGAGAAGTTGCAAAGGCCCTGCCCTCAGGGAGCCCTAAGCCAAGCACAGATGCTGGGTGGCAGGATGTGGTCTGGCTAAGTGGGTCTCCCACCCCATACCATGTGACCAAGCAGCAAAGGTCATTAGTGCTGTCTCATTGGAGGGACAGGGGGAGAGGGCACAGGAAGTGAGGACCCAGCTGGTAGCCCCAGGGCTGTTTGCCAGGACAGCTCCCACCAACACAGCCCTGCCTGGAGCCCTCCCTCCCTCCCCCAACAAGTCCACCTACTGTTGGAGAAGGAGCCATCGGGAATATAGAAGGCACCCACAGTGATGCCCACGAAGATCAGGAACTTAAAGAACCAAAACCTATGGTGGGGGCAGGGGAAGGAAGGCAGAAGAGAACTGAGCCAGGGGAGGGGAACCAGAGGCCAGGCCCAGGATCCCCACCCGCAAAGAACAGATACCAGGAGAGGTAAAGAGGGTCTGCACAACTGTCAAAGGGCACAGCAGGGCTGTCCTGGTCCTAGAAGCAACTCCCAGGGGGCACAGGGAAGATCACAGAGGGGTGAAGATGGTGCCCTTTCTGCGCTTGCATTTCCTCATCGGAGAAACGAGAATAACTGAATGAGCTGACCCCTCCTGGCTTAGGTGGATCCTGAGTCTGAGGACAGGGTTTGGGGATCCCTGGGGGGTAGGCAGAGAAGGAGAAATGCACACAGAGGGTTCCCAGTGCAGGTGCAGGCCCCTTCCTCACCCATTCTGGATGGCTGCCCGGGGGTCCCGGCTGCTGCGCACACAGATCATGAGCAGGGTAAAAAGGAAGAAGAAGATGGCCGTGGCGAAGCACATGCGATACACAGCCCGTTGGCCAAGCAAGGAGCCACAGTCGATGTGGCTCTGCAGGATGAACGGGCTCTTGGCACCATCGTCACACACCCAGGGCAGCTGTGGAGACAGACGGAGCAGCCTGAAGGCCCCACCCCAGACAGAGTCCTTTGGGACCCCCAACCATCTCACTGCCCCCTCCCCCTCCCTTCTCACCCACTGGCTGAGGAGTGAGCTCCCCGCTGGGACGGATGGGCTAGTTACACTTTGTTATTGTTTACTTCCCTGTTTTCAGTCTTATAACATCACTTACATCAAAATCCCCTGAGATGCTTAGGGAAAACTGAGATCTTGACTTCTAAGTTAGAGTCTGGAGTCTCTGGATGGTCAAACGGTTAATGTACTTGCTACTAACTGAAAGGTTGGTGATTAGAGTCTACCCAGAGGCCTGTAATCTACTTCCAAAAACTCAGTCACTAGAAACCCAATGGTTCTACTCTGACACACATGGGGTCATCAAGAGTCAGAGTCCACTCGGCTGCATCGGGCTAAGGTGGGCTCTGAGAATCTACCTTTCTAACAAACTCCCCAGGTGATTCACATCTTTGCACGCACTGCAGTTGAGAAGCACCGGCCTAAGTGTGCACTGGGTCTAGGTAGGTAATGTAAGACACTGTGGACAGAGGGAGGGAGAGAGGGAGGGACGAGTTGGAAGTCTCAAACAGTGTTTGAGCATTAAAGGGAGGGGAAGCAGGTCTTGACCTGGGGACCAGACTGATGAATAAGATTTTCAAAGGGGCCATAGCTGATAAGAAATAAGAATCCCCATGTAGAGTTCAAACCTTCCCTCTCACATAAAGAAACACCCTCCGGTCACCACCCTTGGATTTGGGGCATCGGTATACCCCCGACATTCCTGCCTACCTCTTTTATTTTCTTTAACTTCTATTTATTTTGCTGTTGCTGAGAACATACACAACATAACATACAGCAATTCAGCAATTTCTGCATGTCCAAATTCATGATACTGATCACACTCGTTAGTTAGACAATCACCTCCAGCTTCCTCTCCTGAGCTGTCACGCCCTCACTGCCCATGAAGGTTCCTATCTTTCCATTTGCTGTTGTCACTCTGATCCATATTGCAGTTGGTGGTGTTGCTGCTGTTAAATGCTGTCAAGTCAGTCCCGACTCATAGCAACCCTGCGTAGCAGGGGTGGGGAACTTCCAACCCACGTGCAGTATTGTTGTTGTTAAGTGCCGTGGAGTCGGTTCTGACCCATAGTGACCCTGTACAGGGTTTCCGAGGCTGTAAATCTTTACGGAGCGCAAAGCCTCATCTTTCTCCTGCGGAACAGCTGGTAGTTTCGAACTGCTGACCTTGAGGTTCACAGCCCAATTTGTAACCACTATGCTACCAGAGCTCCTTCACGAGCAGTATAAAGCCCTTGAAATCATTTGGTCTGGCCCTGCCAATGCAACCACAGTTCCAGACATCACACTGGTGGTGGTGATGTGCCGTGGAGTCGGTTCTGACTCATAGCGACCCTGTACAGGGTTTCCGAGGCTATAAATCTTCACAGTAGCAGAAAGTCACATCTTTCTCTCATAGCACTGCTGGTAGTTCCAAACTGCTGACTTTGAAGTTAGCAACCCGATTTGTAATCACTACGCTACCAGAGCTCCTTAGACATCACATTGTTGTTGTTGTTACGTACCATGGAGTCGGTTCCGACTCACAGTGACCCTGTACAGGGTTTCCGAGGCTGTACAGCTTTACGGGAGCAGAAAGCCTCATCTGTCTCCTGCGGAACGGCTGGTAGTTTCGAACTGCCGACCTTGAGGGTAGCAGCCCGATTCATAACCACTACACTATCAGAGCTCCTTAGACATCACATTGGGGGTGAGATAATTAAATCTTTGACCAAACATAGCAGGCTAATTTTGAACTTGATAATTTTGTATGGTCTGCAAATGTTATAAATATCCAAATGGCCCTTGGTAGAAAAAAGGTTCCCGATCCCTGCAGTATAGGAACAGCTAGTGGGTTTGAGCCACTGACCCTACAGTTAGCAGTCCAGTGCATATCTTATAATGCCACACCAGGACTCCTTGATCAGATAGTTCTTAAAAGAGTGTAACGTTCATGGAGGCCTTCTTTAACTAGTTACGCTAAACTATTCTGCAGTTTAAGACTTCAGAGGATAATTTTGGCTTAAGGCTTAAAGATTGTCTCAGGGCAATAATTTCAGGGGTTCATCCACCGTCCATGGTTCCAGGAAGTCTGGTGGCCATGAGAATTTGAAATCCTGTTTTGCATTTCCCCTCTTTTGATCAGGATTCTTGTATGGAATCTTTGATTAAGCATTCAGGAAGCCAGGCGCCATCTAGTTCTTCTGGTCTCCTGGCAAAGGAGACAGTTGTTCATTCCACATCCTTCTTCTGTTCCTGACTCTTCTTCATCCTCTGTGGCTTCAGGTGAATACAGAACAATTCTGGAGCCTTTGATGGTCACTTGCAAGCTGTGAAGACCCCAGGCACTAAGCATCAAACTAAGAGGTAGAACAGAAGCACTAAACACATTATTAGGCCAATTAACTGGGATGCCTCAGGCATTCTTCTTGATTCCCTGTGACCCCTATCCAGGTCCCTCAATAGGGCCGGCCTGGCAGACGCCCCCTCCACCTCCACCATGCCTCACCTTATGGAGTTTACTCTCCACGCCTGGGCTCAGCATGATGACAGATACCAGCACCCCCAGGAAAAGGAACACTGTGAAGAGGAGGCGGCTCACGGTGGCGCTTCGGCTGGCCGGACAGCAGCTACACAGGATGCAGGGGGCAGAGCCACAGAGGCAGGACGCCTGCAGAGAAGCCAGGGCACACAAATTACTGGGCCTCCCCTCGCTTCCTCATCCTAGCATGCAGCACCCACCCAAGGAATGTCCCTACATTTAACCCTCAAGTCTGGGAACTGGGGGTGGGTAAAGGATGAAGCCAAGCCTCAGAGAGGCTGGATCACACCTCATCACAGAGCCCAGATTTAAACTCAGATCTTTGGTTTCAGGGAGAGCAAGCGATGGTGTGTGTGTGTGTGTGTGTGGAGGGGGTGGGGGGAGGTCTACAGAGCTCCTTAGAAGTAGAGTTTTTTTTAAAAAAGCTGTCACTGATTAGTTTGTAAACTTGGACATCTCACTGAACCTCTCTGAACTCAGAGTCCTCTAAAATGGAAATTTTACGGGCACCTATTAGAGGAATCCTGGTGTGGCGCTGTGGATTAATGAGCCAGACTGCAAAGCCATTTGAACTGCAAGGTCAGCGGTTCAAGATCACCAGTCGCTCCTAGGAAACCCTACACAGGGTCACTATGGGCCGGAACCGACTCTACAGCACTTAACAACAACAACATTAGCGTAGTCAGGAGCTCCGGTAGCATAGTGGTTATGAATCCATGGTCAATAGTTCAAAACTACCAGCTATTCCGCAGGAGAAGGATGAGGCTTTCTGCTCCCATAAAGATTTATAGTCTCGGAAATCCTGTACAGGGTCGCTATGAGTGGGAACTGACTCCACAGCACATCACCACTACTCCATTTCTCACAGGGCAGTTGTGAGGATTAAATTGTGAGAATTCAAAACAGGATGCTGAATTTTAAACCACATGACACACTTTACAATATACTTATAGTTGCCTGTTTGTCTCCCATTTCTAGCAGGTGAGCTCCAGGAGGGCAGGGATTTTTGCCTGTTTTGTTCACTGTGGTATATTTCCCAGGAGTGGTTGTTATCGGTTCCTCATTCGGGAGCTGTGCCAGCTTTGGACGGCAGGTGGCAGTCTAATGTTTCTCCTCTCTGGGCTCCTCACTCAAATAGGTGCCAGTTCTTTCTCTTGGGCTGTCTGAAATCACACTAAGGGTTGTTGTTGTTGTTAAGTGCCATTGAGTCGGTTCCAACTCAGCGACCCTGTATGGGGTTTCCAAGGAGCGGCTAGTAAGCTTGAACCGCCGACCTTGCAGTTCAAACCAACTTTGCAGTCCTGCACATTGACCCACAACACCACACCAGGACTCCAACGGCTAGTTGTTGTTGTTAGGTGCCATTGAATCAGTACCAACTCATAG